CAAACCCACCCCCCCAAAACATCCACGGGGGTGGAATCGGGGTCCCCAACACGTACCCGAGTGCCCCCGGAGCGCGCAGCCCTCGCAGGCGCCCCGTTGGCAGCGTGGAGCCCGCGGCCCAGCCGGGAGCAGCCCCAGGCGCCCGGATCCGGCCGGCAGCTTCCCCATCGGCCCGTGCCAGCTCCCGACCAAACACGGTCACGTGGAAGAGGTTTGCCAATGAGGCAGAATAAACAGCTTTCAAACTGCCTCCGAAGCAGGGCCCCCGACGGGATTTTCTTCCCCCTCTAGTACCTTAAAAAGGATTTTTTTTTTTTGTGTGTGTGTGTGTGCGCGTGTTTTCACAGCTGCCCGCGTTTCGGAGAGCAATCCCCCCCCCTCCCCACCCCAATCCAAAAAAAAAAAAAAAAAAAGAAAAAAGTTTTGTTAGTGCACCTTTCGCTCCCGATAAAACGCACGCAGGATCCGCCGGGACCGGGAGAAATTTCCTCCCCCTTCGCAGCCATCCTCCTCTCCCTGCTTTGCTTACAGAAAATACAGACGTAGAAAAAAAATAAAAAACTGAAAGTGCTTTTGCTGCTGATCCGGACCCGACAACCGCGGCACAGGAGAAGGATTTCCGTTTGAGCACGAAGCAAAAAGACTTTTTTTTTTTTTTTTTTCTTGCCAACTTGCCAGGGCATGAAAGCCAGGCAGCGAGCGTCGCCTGGGGCCGGCGAGCGCCGACACCAGCTTGCTTCAACCGAGCTAACAACCCAGCTAACAACTCCGAGCACATCTCCAACGCAGGCTTTTATATTTTTTTTCCCCTTAAAAAAAAAAAAAAAAAAAAAGGAAAAAAAAAAAAAAAGACAAGCGGATGGAGACAGCCCGTGCCAAGTGCTTCGAGCACGCAGGGTTCATTTGTTTCGGTATCCAGGTACCGTTAGGGCCGGCCCCGTACCCACGTCTGCGCTCCCGGCACAAGGCATCGTAATCCCTTAATGACTTCCCTTCAGCTCCGTCCCCAGATCTAATCTCTGCGGGCAGGGAGCGAGATCTTTATGAAATAAAACGCGGACGGACGGGCTCAGCATCTCGCTGCAGACCTCCGAGGGAAGGTGGATTTTTGCCTCCCAATTCTCCCCCCCCCTGCCCTGGCGCTGCTGCGTTTTTGCCAGCGCGTTTTTGTCGCGAGCATCGCGCTTCAGCACAGCAACTCGGTCGCCAAAAAGGGCTTTAAATCAGAGCAGGAAAAAGTTTTCAAGAAAACCTCTCCGGCGGCGCCTCCGCTGCGCATCACACAACTGCAAAATGCTCTCAGGGGTGAGAAGAATTGGGAAGTTTTTCCAGCTCCGACCACCCCTACCCCGAGCCGCAGGTCTTGGTGCCGCACGCGGTGCCCCCCCGAGTGCCGGGAGCCCCTTCCCACGCTGTCCCCGTGCTGCCTGGCAGTGGGGCCGAGCTGCCAGCCAGGAATCCCCGGCGGGCAAGGGTATTTTTTTTTTCTGGAAAAATCAAAATACAGCGAGGGGAGGCGACGTCAAAGGGCAGAGGCAGGCAGCACTTCCCTCAGGTGCGCCAGGGTGCCCAGAAGCCGCACGTTGCCGTGTTTTTACATCTCCTGAGACGCACGGGTGGCTTTCCGAGTGCTTTTAGGGCTTTATTCCCCCTGTTTTTCCCCTCCCTCTCTGGGTATCACCACGCTCGCCCCTCCAAGGAGCAGATGCCAGCAGCTCCCCCCCGGGGGAGGAGGGGGCACAGCCGAGCCCCCAGCTTCAAGGTGCCCTCCTGCGAGCGGCCGCGCCGGAGGAGATGGAAATGAAAGCGGACAGGGCAGGAAATTTCACGTTTCCACTTCCAGAAACGGCAGGTGACAGCGGCGCAGCAGCAAGCAGAAGGAAGGGGGGGGGAAATCGCCCCCGGCCCCGAAGGCTGGGAGCTGTCGGGAGGCAGCGGGGAGCATCCCCCAGAGCCCCCGCACCACCCGCGGCCGGGGCTCAGCGCTTCGGAAACACCACGGCCAAGGGGGGAAAACGGCCCCTGCCACGAGTAAAGAGGATTTCCCGAACCCTTCCAGCCGCCAAAGCCCGCTCTGCGGTGGGAAACGAGGTGCCAAAAGATAGAGCCGTGCCTTCCTTTTAAATGAACCGTGGGGGGGTGAAAGAAATGAGGGGGGCTCGGCGCTGTCCTGCCTTTCTTGGGGAAGAAGAATGGGACGCGTCCCCGCGTGGGGCTCGCCCCCCACATTGCCACCACAAAAGCGAAGCCGGCCCCGCACCTCCAGCCCCTCTGCCCCCCGCGGGACGGCCGAGAAGGAGCCGAGGAGGTGGGGGGGTTGGGGGGGGGGGGAAAGAGAAATAAAATAATGAAAAAAAAAAAAGCAGAGAAAAAAAAAACACAACTCAAAGCCGGAGCCTCGCCGCCCCCCTCCCCAGCCCCACTGCGCAACACAAACAGCCTCAAAGCATCCCCCTCTCCGGCGGCAGAAAAGAAAAAAGCTGCCGGGCTCTCCGGGCAGCAACTTCACAAGTGAGTGCACTCGCATTCCTGCCGGGTTATGAGGAGGGAGAAGAAGGGGCACGGGCCCGCAGCAGGGATTTCGGCGGCGCTGGGTTTTATGGGGTGCGCTCCTTGCCCAAACCCTCTCCGGCCGTGGCACCGGGACGTGTCCTCGGAGGGCAGGGAGGCGAGCGGGGCTGCTGATGTTCCCCCCCGCCCTGCACGCTCTCAGCCCCCCTCCTCGCCTCCCCCCGCCCCCAAACCACAACTTTTCAGCCCTTTTCATCCCATTTCTCCACCGGTTTTCTCAGTTTTCTGCCCCACTCCCCAAAGCAAACCTGCCCCAAAAGGCGCCCGGGTGCTTCCCAGCGCATCCTCCTCACCCGGCCCCTTCCCCACGGGGGTTTCAAACAAGGCTCCCCCCGGGGCCCAGGACCCTGCAGCACCTTCCTGGGGCTGAGGGGGAAAATTTCCCACTTTTTCCCCCCAAACCAAGCCGGAGTTTGGGCTCTGCACCAAGTCACGGCAGCGTTCGCTTCTCCCAGCGATGCTCAGCCCCCTGCTTTGGGCTCAGCATCAAAAGGACCTGGGGGGGAGGGGGGAAACCCCAACAACAACAAAAAAACAACTAATAAATTCTAATAAAATTTAAAAAAAAGGCAGCATCTCCGAGCCGGGATGATCCCCAGCACTACTCCAAGTCCCGTCCCCCCCCTGGCCCCCAGCCCCACACCACAAAGGGCCAGGCAGGAGCCGGAGCCACCCCAGGGCTCCGCAGCCCTGACAAAAGCCTCGGCACACGAAATTTCCTCCCTGCTTTTCGCCACATTTCTCCCCCCAACGCATCCCCACCCCCCCCTCCTTTTGCAGTTCAATTTGAGCAACCTGAAGGGGGAAAAAAATAATAATTAACAAAAAAAAAAAGCAAAGGAAAAAAAAGGGGGGTAAATTTTACGAACCAAGTGATTTTTCCCTGTCCACCCACCCCCGGGGGCTCGTCGGGTTTTAAAAAGACCCGAAGAGGGGGTGGGAATTAAAAAAATAAATTCAGAGCTGGGTTTCGCAGCAGCCTGAGACTTTCACCGTGTTTAATTGACAAGCCGGGGAGGACGAAGGGGGACGAGGTCCCCACGAACCCACAGCGACCAGGGGTGCGAGCCCCACGTTGTGATTTCCCCACCGAACGCCTGCTCCCAGCCCAACGCGGTGCTCGCGTAAAATCGCTTCGCACACAAGCAGAAATTTGTAAAAAGCAAATCCTCCTTCTGGTTCGGGTTAAGGAACAACCCGGGCTTTTTAATACAGAAACTAATAACGTTTTTATGGTGTGCCCCACAGCTTTACGACGCTCGCGGAAAAGCCAGGGCTTAACCCGGTGCTAAGTTGGGTCCGACCGTGGCAAGAGGCAACCTCGGGAGCCCGCGGCCGCCGAGCGGAGCCGGTGGAGCTGCCTAAATCCGACAGGGGATCCTGGGGAGGAATCCGGACCCAAATTCCTTTAGGACTACATTAAGAGGAGGAAAAACCCAGGGCAAGTTTTTCACAGCGTGCGCTTCGCCCGCTCCGAGCGAAGTTGAGCTTTCGGGCGGCCGCGATTTATTCCTGCTCTCCCCCACGCGGGTTTCCATTTGATTTAGAAAGTGCACGGGGGGAGAAGACAAGGCGACAGCCCTTCACTTTTTTTTTTTTTTTTAAAAAAAAAAAGGGGGGGGGAGAACAAAAAAAGAATCAATCCCAAACGGCCAAAGCAAACCCAATTACGCTCCACTTGTTCTCCCCTACACACACCTTCGGACCGCGCCTGCCAACTCGAACCAGATTTCCAACCAGCGACAGAAATTATTCGGAGCGATCTGCTGCGAGCACGGCACTTTGTGGAGAGCCTTTCTTTTTTTTTTTTTTTTTTCCGAGGGGGAGCGGGAGAGAAGAGACAGAGCCGCGTTTGTTTCGGACACGGACGAGGGAGAGGGCTCGGGGAAGAATAGGAGCGAGCGAACTTTGCCGGGGCAGCATCGCGCCACCGAGCCGGGACCGCGCCGAGCCAAGCTGAGCCAAAGCAGCCCTGGGAGGGGGGGGCTCTCAGTGGGCTCTGAGGCTTCGCCACCCCCATTTTAATTTTTTAGGTTGCTCCCCAGCAATTTCCGACCCCCCAGAAGGCGACGGCTCCGTACGGCACAACTCTTTGCCAATGCGCCCCCGATCGCCGCCGTCACCACCGGCAGCAGGCACCCCCCCGAGCCCTCCCGCGGGCTGTGGGCATCACACCGCAGCCCCCAACCCCCCCTAAAACCTCATAGGACCCCCCCCAGGCCAAACCACCCCATCTTCCTCCCCAAACAAAGGCACACCGAAGATTCCCAAACTTCTCATCCGGGCGCACTGCGGGCACGGATTCGGGTCGGGGCGCGCGGCGGTGGCCCCCTCCCCGGTGCCAAACCCGCGGCCGGTTCCTCCAGCTCCCCGCAACGGGGTTTGAAATTTTTGGCGGTGCCGGGGGGTTTTCTCCTCCTCTCCCTCACCTTGTGGGTTTTCTAGAGGGTTTCCCAGGGCGCCGGGCGATCTCGCTGCAGGTTGACGGCGGCGGCTGCTGCTTTCCTCCCAGCAATTGGAAAAACTTGGGGCCGCCCGACTTAATTTATCTCGAGCGAGGAGCGGCGGGGCTGGGGGGGGGCGAGTTGGAAAAGTGTAGGGGGAGGAAAGGGGGGAAAAAAAAAAATAATAATAATAATAAAAAAAAAATAAAATAAAATACAAAGAGCCCACCCCGAGCCCCCGGGAGCAGCTGGTGTTAAAGCAAAACTGCCAGCGGGGGAAGAAAGAAGGGGGAAAAAGGCGAAGCCCCAACAAAGGGAGCGCGGCGGAGGCTCGGCATGGCGGGGGCCGTGTCTGGGTGTCTGTCTGTGTCTGTCTGTCCCCCCCCTCGGTGCTGGGACCCCCGGCCCGCCGGGGAGCGGCACCTCCAGAGCCCGGCTCGGCTCAGCCCAGCTCGCCCCGTGTGTGTCCCCCCCCCCCCCCCCCACCTCCAAGCCCCAACCCGCCCCGAGGGGGCTGCCGGGGGCCGCCTTCCTCCTCCTCCTCCTCCTCCTCCTCTTCTTCCTCCTCCGCTGCCGGCCGGGGAACGCCTCGAGGGGGGGGGCGGCGGAGACCCCCAACCCCCCCCCCCCTCACCACCACCACCAAGAGAGGGGCGCAATGGGGACCCCCCCCACCACCACCGGGATCCCCTCACACACACTTCGGGACCCCCCCTCCTCATTAAGCCCCCTTCCTAATTAAGCCCCCCCACACCTCCCCAATTCAGCCCCCCCACCCCCCCCCCCGCTGCCTTTGTCCCGGCTCCGCAACAAACTTCCGCGGAGGGGGGGGGGAAAGGGGGAAAAAAAAGGGGAAAGGGGGGAAATGGGGAGAAAAGGGGGGAAAGGGGGGGTGAAGGGGGGTAAAGAGGGGGGAAAGGGGGGGGAAGAGGGGAAAAGGGGGGGAAAGAGGGGGAAAATAGGGGAAAAATGGGGGGAAAGAGGGGAAAAGAGGGAGGGAGAATGGGGGGGAAAGGGGAAAAAGAGGGAAAAGTGGGGAGAAATGGGAGGAAAGGGGGGATAAGGGGGAAAAAAGGTGAAAAAAAAGGAAATTGGGGAAAAAAGAGGGAAAAGGGGAAAAAAAGGAAAAGGGGGGAAAAGGGAAAAGGGGAAAAAAAAGGGGAAAAAAGGAAAAAGGGGAAAAAAAGGGGGAAAGGGGAAAAAAAGGGGGAAAAGGGGAAAAAAAGGGGGCAAGGGGGGGTCCTGTCGAAGCTCCCCGATGGGGGGGGGGGCGGCACCGGGACCCCCCCCCCCCCCCCTAAAGCCCCGCTCCGCTCTCACCCACCTGGTAGCGCGGGGGCCGCGGCGGGCATGCGGCCGCCTCCTCTTCCTCCCCTTCCTCCTCCTCCTCCTCCTCCTCCTCCTCCTCCTCCTTCCTCCCCCCCAAAGTTGGACGGGGCGCGCCTCTAGGACGGCCGCTGCATGGCACGAGGAGGCGGCTGCTGCTGCTGAAACGAGGTGGGGGGGGGGGGAACCGGCACCGGCGCCCCCTTTGGCGCTTCCCCCCCCCCTTGTAATATTTTAGGACCCCCCCCTCCTTCCCCGGGACCCCCCGAAGGCTGCGGGGTGGCTGCGGGGCCGGGCAGGGCTCCGGGGGCCGCCCCTGTCCCGCTTGGGCTCGGCTCGGCGCGGGCGCTGTGGAGCGGGGCGGGAGGCGGCCGCCCTACCATAGTTCCTCTAAAGCAGGTGCAGCCGCTTTCCTTGCCCCCCCCCCCGCCTCGTCTTGGGCCCGAGGAAGAGGAGGAGGAAGGCTACGGAGAGATTTGGGGGGGCCCCGTGCTGTCCCCGTGCCCCCGCGCCCACCCGTGGTGTGAGGGGTGCGGTGGGTTCTCCGTCACCGCCACCCCCTAAGTGGGGCTCGCTGCCCCCCCCTCTGTGTGTTCCCCGTGGTCCTAATTAGCGCCAGCGCTAATTGTGGGGTTCCCCAAGCCCATAAGGAACGTAGTCGGCTGGGGGGTGCGAGGGGAAACTGAGGCACGGGGTAACGGAGGTGGTTGTGGGGTGAAGCGCTGCTGGGGGGTGTGGTGTGGTGTGGGGTCGCTGAGCCCATTTTACAGATGGGAAAGGTGAGGCCCTGAGCCAGCAGCCCCCCAACCCCGCTCCGTGACACCCCCGACAGGCAATGAGGGTCCCCATGGCCCGAACCGGGGCGCTGAACCCAAACTGGCACCCGGCTGCTGGCCCCACACGTCTGGATTTGGCACCCAACCTCCGTACTGGGCTGCTGGACCCCAAACATTGCCTGGCCTCAAGACCCCAAATCCTTCCCCGCACCCCAAAAACACCCTCCCTTAGGTGCCAGGGCTGACCCCGAGCAGGGCAGGGGGACGCGGTGGTGTGCCCGGCCGGGTGCTGTCCCCACCAGGCCCATGGGGTGGGCACAACCTCGCATGGAAGCAGCAAAAGGAAGATTTTTGGGAAGTCCCAGTGGGCACTTTGTTTCACTAGCACTGACTCCTGTGTTCTTTTTTTCACTTCTGAAGCAGCTTTTTACACATTTCTGGGGTTTGGACAGATGAAATAGGCTTTAAAAAGTGAAATTGGATGAAAAGTGGTTTAATACACCCAGATTATTTTATTTTTGACCATTTCATTTTAACTTTTTATTTGTTTGTTTGTTATTCTTGAATGAAAATTCCCCTACACCTGGAATTTCCACATGGCAAAAAAGCCCCCTCCCGGCAGCCGCAAGCTCTGGTGCCCCCAGCAAACATCCCGGTGACCCCATCAGTGGCACCCCCCCAAAAATCTTCTCTGGGGGGGGCAAACAGCGCTGAGCCTCCAGCCCTTCTCCCACCTCCTCTGGAGGCCTGGGATTTCCTGTAGGGCTCCCCTTGGCCGTGTGTTTGCTGCGCACCCGCTTCTGCACAACCTTCTCCTCCAAGGGGCTGGCTTTCTTGGAAGGGGCCCCCCAGGACGGGGTTCTCTGAAATGCCGTGCCCCGACCCCACTGTGGTGAGGGGAGGGCTTCGTTTCCTGCTGGCAAACTTTTCTTTGGTGCAGGATGGCCTCCCCCGTTCCCTCATGGTGAAAAACCCCAAGCAGCCCTCTCCGTGCTCCCAGGTTTCGGCACCGCGTGCTCCCTCATGGGGTTTTCTGCGAGGTTCAGCCCCCGTGCTGTGACCCCACAGCTCCGCACCCCAAAAACACCCCCAGGCCACCCGCAGCCATGCGGCCTCTCTGTAGCTCTTTGCTCCAAGGGGAAATTTTCCCAAAAGTGGTGGAAAAGGGCAATTCTGTGATCATCACAGCAAGCGATTCCCATGCACGGTGCGCTCGGAAGGATGCTGGAGCCCCCCCTTGATTTGGGGTGCACGAGATGAGCACAGCCTGGCGCACGGTGCTCGGGCAGAGGGTTTGCTCCGGGGGTGGCCGTGACCCACAGAGTCACCACAAGTCGTTGCCTGCCCCTGGCTTCACTAAGAGCCAATTTTCCCAATTTTTTGTGGGTTCACGGAGCTTTGGGTACATGGAGGCTGTTTTCCCACTCGCCTTCCTCCCCAGGTTTGTAGCCTACGAGAGCCCCAGCGTTCTGACTTTGCGAGCTTTTCGCCCCAATATCAGGCTGCGAGCACCAGGCTGTGTTTTTTTTTTTAAATCCCGAACTGGCACTCTTCGGAGTGAAAAATAGCTTTGCTTTGAGTGAAGAGCCTCGTCAAACCCGCGCCTGCCCTCTTTTCTCAACATAAGAATAGCCCCTTTGAAGACATCAAATAGCATCCGAGTGGGAAGGATTTGCACAAAAAGACATGGGCAGACTTCCACCGAGGGGAGTTTGTGAATTGAGCGTGGCCCAAAGATCCCTCTTTGTTCGTCTGTGTCAGCCAGGAAGAAAATATTAGGAACGGGACCTGGGTGAGGTCCCAATGCGGCGCTCGCCACGGCACCTTGCGGGCTCCGATCCTGCTCCCAGGGGCTGCCTCGTGCCTGCCCCAGCTGGAAACCTCATTTCTGGGAGGACTTTGGGGCTGCTGCAGGCAAGGGATGTTCCTGGGATGGCAGGAGAGACCGTAGATGCTCGTGCTACAGTGCTGAAGTCCCAAGAGAGGGAAAAAGAAAAAAAAAAGGAAGGGAAAAAAGTTCCTTTCTTCTGCAGCAGGCGAAGCTTTCGGCGTGCATCGTCTCCAAAAAGATGTGATGGAGGTGGCAGGATTTATTGCCCTGGGATCAGACGTGGTGCTTAGTGCCTGGTTATAAAGCACGGAGACAAGCGACGGGAGGACAGTTTGTGTCGCTCGGGTTGGGGGGGTCCCACGTGGCGGGGGGCTTCCCCTCCAGAATCGTACATCCCAGCTCCCCCCGGCAGGACACATCTCACTCTTGTACACCTCCACCGTTATTCCCCAAGTCCTTGGGATTCCCAAATCTCTAGTGTTTTTTTTTTTTTTTCTGTTTATTTTTTCTCCTCCGCAAAGTGCCTGCTTCTCCACCCGGAACATTGGAAATCTTTAAAAAGTGAAAATCCTCACTCGGAGGTGTTTACCCGGAATGGAGGAATTCCCAGGTTGCCGTAAGCTTGGCAGAAAGCTGCAAACTTCCATGGAAAAGGTCGCTTCGGGTCTGCTCTAATCCCACTGAAGGCTCCGACCCGGGCAGTAGCTTCATCCTGCCAGGAAAGTCCGAGCTGGCCCCAAAACCCTTTTGCCACAGGTTACGGGTTCACCATTGCTGGCAAATCGATGGAGGAGAGCACGAGAGCTAAAGCTCGTTTGTCTTCTGTCTCTTCTTACATTGTGAGAGTGACTTAAAAAAGAAAACCTGAGTTTTCCAAAGATGCGCATTTGAAAATCAATGAGTGGCCAAAAATGTGAACGCCACCCCTGAACCTTCCTCTTCCTACCTCTCTCCCTCCTTCGGTCGAGGCAAAATAAAGAAAAATAGGACGGAAAGAAGGGAAAGGAAAATCGGGAATGGGAAAACAGGGAGAACAAGGGAGAAGTGGTAATGTTTTAGGGAGGGAGCTGTGCATTCACACAGCTTAGCCCCAAATTCCCATCCCTTCCAAGGCGGAAAACTCAAGAACAGAAAAGCTGTTTTTCCACCCAAAATGTGCCAGCCATTTCCATGCCCATCGCCTCCCCGTGGGGACCGGGGCTGGATCTGAGCCACGCTCCCTGCCCTGCACGGGGCTCACCTGGGCAGCTCCCGCACCCCGCTGCCAGCACCGAGGGATGCTCAGCACGGGGAGCAGGGGCAGGATCCATGCCAGGGGGCAAGCGGGGAGCCCCGGGTGCTGCCGGGGGGCTGGGGGAAGCCGGCTTCGCCTGGACGTGCTGGCGGGCCCGTGGCCGCCGCCGCTCTTGGACCCCGCGCACATGTTGCGTAAGGCAAAGAAATGATGCACCGAGTTACTGTAAGTGATGAGAGGCTCCTGGCTGCCTTTTAAAGCGACAGGCTGCCGGGTGCACCACAGGCAGCACAGCTCTCTCTGCCCCCTCCGGTGTCCCCCCACCCCCGGCAGACCCCGATGCCAAAAAGCCCCTCGGTATTCCCCGAGCGAGCAGCACCTGGGGATGGGATGGGGACGGCACGAAACGCGTGGCCCTGCTCTGAACTGCAAGGAAACAGGGGAATATTGCAGGGGGTGCAGTGTCCTTAGCTTTGGGGCTTGGCTGGGGGTTGCAGCCCCTCTGGCTTGCAGCCGTGCTGTGCCTCAGTTTCCCCTTCTTGCACAGAAGGAGGAGGTCAGGCAGCTGGGCTCGGCTGGGGTTTGCTGAGCTGAAGTTCTGGTTAAAGGAGAGAGCACGGAGGTGAAAACTGCCAGCGCCTGGCTGTGCTGCTCCCACACACGGAGCAAAGGATGTGGCGTGGGGGGTCTCCACACTGGGACCAATTTCCCTCCGTGCCTGCAAAGCCTCAGCACAGGAGAGGGAGGAGGCTGCGAGGAGAGGGGATGGGCGGCGTACAGCGTGCCAGCGGAGATGTGGGCACCACGGCACCCCAAAAGGGCCAGACCCCATGTGCCATGCCGTGCTTCAGGCACCCAGACACACAGGACGCCTGGCTTCTCTCTCCCCACCAGCACACGCGCTGCTTTTATTTTTTTTTTTCCCTTTCCCCTCTTCCTTTTTTTTTTTTTTTTTTTTTTTTTTTTTTTTTTTTTTTTTCATTTATCTGCTTTTCAAATAACGTTACTCATCCAGAGCGGGACGTCTGCGCTCACCACTCCCGGTGTTTGTCTGCATTGTTTCCTTAGGGGAGATGCTCACCCGCACGCGGTGACTACTTGTCTGAGCCGTCACGGTGCCGAGCGGCGGGGATTACTCATGGTGTAAGGTTTAAGAAAGGGGGGGGTGGGGGGAGAGAGAGAGAGGCCAGACTTGGCCCTTTGTCTGCAGTTGTTCATTTCTCGCTCTTTGATATATTTTTCCCCTCCTCTCTTTCTTCCTCTGCCAATGCTCTCCGTCCCGGCTCCCCGAGCTCCCTCCTCCTCCTCGCGCTCACACCGGAGCTCCGGGCCAAATCCCCGCAGGGTGCCCGCCAGCCTCCACTGCGTCGCCGCACCGGCACGGGGGGGGGTCCCCAGTCCCCTTGTGCCCCCCTCCAGCAGAGCCAAGCCCTCCCCGTGGGCTTCCCTCTGCAGCCACCTCTGCAAGTTGCCCATTTCCACA